TCTTCCCCTTACTGAACTGCGTGGACAACCTGTCCCAGTGTCCACAGGGTAGGAAACCTGGACTGAGACCCATGCTTGGAGGCAGCCTCTCCAGTGGTGGCACTCTCAATGATGTAGCCTCAGAATTGAATGTAAGATTACAGTGGTAAATCAATGGCCTTTTAGCTCTGCTCTGCTGTTTAGTGGTGACATTTTTATTTTCTGTTCTAATTACCTGCACTTTATAGTCATGTGTGCTTTTCTTTTCTGTTTTTCTTTACATTTATAGCTGATGCAGATGCATTTAAAATTCTCCTGGAGATGAAGATGAAGAAGAGACAGAAAAAACCTACTTTACCGAGCACTGTGACTGAGCTTGACACTGAGGATGGTTCTAAAGTATATGTGGTTGGAACAGCCCACTTCAGTGACAGCAGCAAAAAGGATGTAGTGAAGGTAAATACTGAGTGGGAGCCCTCCAGCAGCATGTTTGTGACATTGTCAACTTAGTATTAAGCAGAATGAAGTCCAGCGCTCTGGCTTGGTTCTGTGCTGTAGCCTCCAGACTGTTTCTCTTGTGAGCTGTTGGAGGGCTAACAGCACTGTGGGATGAACTAAGAGACAGACATACAGTCTTAGTAATTTTTGATGCAATAAATTGCTCTCCTATCTCAAATATTTTTATTTGTCCTTAAACAATAAATGCACATACAGTGCCAGTGTTAGCAGTAGAAATCTCACTAGTGAAGCTTAGGTTGCCTGTCACGGTTACAGCATCACCTTGCACCGACAGTGCGTACTGTGATTGTTGCATACTCACTGTGATGGGGACACACTGAGAAGATGCAAAGCCTAGGACAGGAACCGCAGCTTACAACTTCTCTGTGCCTGGGGTGTATAATACTAAGCTGTAAAACCATGCTGCCCCAAACCTGGATTCCATTCTCAAGATGCAAATAGGTCCAAAGCTCTGTGAAAGCAGGAACTGTTTCATACTGTACCCTATGCAAAGTCTGCAGCTGAGAGTGGCTTTATTCTCCAGGAGCTAGAGGGGGAGGAATCTCGTGCCTGAATAATCAACCCTGGTTCTTACAAAGCTTGATGATTGCAGAGTATGATCAAAGGAACTTTGTGAATGCGAAGTTTTTCTTCTTCAAGTTTTTCTGCCCCCTTCTCCCCAGCACAATGTGTTCTTCCTGTCCCAAAGCATCCAGTAACTAAAGCATTTCACTGTTATCTTCCTTAATGTTTCTCTCAACACAAAGCTATTTGGATAAGTCTTGTTTACTCTTTCACTGTTCTTTTCAGTTGGAAATTATTGCTTGAATGTGCTTTTATTAATCCCCTTTTCTCATGAGAGTACTGATATTGGCTGCATTTCTGTTTAATCCTTCCCAAACTGGAGTAAATAAATTCATCTTTTTCAGACAATACAAGAAGTGCAACCTGATGTAGTTGTGGTGGAACTATGCCAGTACAGAGTTTCTATGTTAAAGATGGATGAAAAGACATTACTAAAAGAAGCCAAAGAAATAAATCTGGAAAAACTTCAACAAGCTATAAAGCAGGTATGATTCCACAGTGAGAATTAAGGGCTTGTGTTACGAGCAATTTGTTGAGTTACTAACAAAACCAGTGTTCCCACCAGCTGGGAACCTAATACTGCTCATCTAAGTGAGAGTACCAGTACAATGGCAAAGTTAGGTTTGGTTTGTTGTGTTTTTTCAGCTGGAGTATTGAGGGCTGCTGTTCCACAGTGGGATTGCTTGGACAGTTGTTGACCTCAGCAGAAATCCTCCTGGGTTTAACAGTTGCTCCGTTTGCAGGACACAAGTCTAACTTTTGTAATTGTAGTGCTCTGCTAATATATTTAAATATTATTATTATTCCTGCAAACTGCATCTGTATCACAGCTATTTAGGGAGTGCTTAATTTTGGTATTGTCTGTTGTGATCTGTTTAGTTGCATTCCTTCATCATAGTGTGTTCTTTTTAATTCTCATCCACTTGTCTTTTTTGAATAGTTCCTAATTGACAGTAGGCCTTGAGGGAGGTTTTTGAAAAATCCAGGCTGAACTTTCAAATCTGGGATTCTGTTAAAATTATAACTACTCTGGCAGTTCCATGTAGTCTGGGATGTGTATGCAAAACAAGTGTTGTCCTGTATTTTTTCAGTTTCTCCCAGCTATCTTGTATTTAAATAATTTTAAGCAAGACACCGTGAAACAGCACAAAGTTAACTTAAATATGACAGAACATTTGATTAGAATGGCAGTATGTGATCAATAGTAAAAAGAGTTTCCATTGTCCAGTTGAATGAAGAAATTAATAGATGGTTATTTTAGTTGTGTGGTAATTGTATATTGGAATTGTTATATTGATGTAACTGGGGGAGTTTCTGGGATTGCATTCCTCATGAGAGTATAATCTGCATCCACGCAGGAGCACTTGCAGTGGCTAGGGGCTGGTCTGCTTGTGTGTGTGCACACACAGTGTGTCTCAGCAGTGCAGGCTTTCTGACTCATGGTTAGGCAATAATGCATCTTTCCTGTTTTCTTTATTTGTGTCCTGTCAAAGGAAAGAACATTGTAAAACACTTGCATATTGCATGAATTATTGTATCAATCTGTTTATTTCAGGTAAACTTTTCTGATGCATGTAGCCAAAAGGATGCATGTTCAGAACAACCAGAGCAGCATACCTTGGGGTCTTCTGACCTCGTAAAGATGCACAGAAGCGTTTTCTAAATATCAAATCTAAATGCAATTGTTTTTGCTGTACTCTTCTGTCAAGAAGAAGAGGACAATGAAAATAAAATAGCAGAGTTTTTTTCTGTGATGTAAATTTGTCTTGGCAGCTTTGTGATTAGCATTTTGTGCTAGGGCTTGAAGTGATCTTGTGTGCAGACCATAGGAAACTCAGACTGGGTTGGCTCCAAAGCCAGAGAGTAATACAAAAACCCTTCATATTGTTACAGCTCAATCTTGATCTCCTTTGTCACTAGGGATAACACAAATAATAAAATTTGGACATTGTGCCTTTAAAATAATATATTTCTCCATCTGTAATCTCAATCAAAAAAATCCCACTAACTGTCCACCTTTGATTCAGTAGCAGCGAGGGTTATGGAGGGAAAACCAGGAAAAACAGTCCATCTGTCTCATGTTAAATTGTAGTGTCTTTGTTTTCTCTCTAGTAAAAATCAAACCAGTTAAGTTGCTCAGTCATGCTTCAGTTGTCCTCTCTCATTGAAAAGTGCATTTGGGCCCAGAAGTTATACCAAAAGTCAAAACTGTTTGTAACTTTCATCCTTGAGTTTCAAATTAGGAAAGGAAAACTATGTTTCTTTATAATCAGTTGTATAAGTCTTAAGCAGTAAAATTGCATTTCACTGCTCTTAACTGAAGGTTTGAAACTGAGGAAAGTGCTAATATGAAACTATTACACACTGGCAGTGAGTTGCTGGTATTCACAGTTTATCAAGCAACTGTTGCAGCCCCTCCTTGAATTTCAGAACCCTTAGTTGTTTGCAGAGAACTACCTGTTTGCTTTCCATTGAGTAAAGCAGCTCAGTGCAGACTGGTAACTGGCTGAGATGCGGATTACCTGAAGGTGCACTGTAACAGTTGGCTTAAACCAAACTGGTAAGACAGGTTTTGTCTTCTCCCCTTGCTTCCTGTTTCCACTGTCCCTTCCGTGTCCATACCATGGCCCTGTGGCAGTCTGAACAGGGCTTGCTCTTTAGCTGCATTGTATCCCTGTATTGCTGTATGATTGCTGGTCCTGACACAGAGGGGATGAGAAAGAAACCTTGTTCTGAGGCAGAAGAGAAAGTGGGCTAGTGGCAGCAACATCTTAGTTCAACCTCACTTTTTTTTAACCTACTCCTTTAGGCTGAAATTACCTGTTCAGGAATACATTGTAATGCTTCTGGCCAGTGAAAAAACTATTGTTTTGCACCATGTAATACAGCCCTCTCCATGTTTAGGTAACCTACAGGATTGTTCTTTAGATAAAATGGATATAATGTGACTTGGCAGATGATGGGTACATCTGTATGGACAGGAGCAGGCTGCTGTCACTCACTACCTTTACCTGTGCTTTAAAGTCTAACCTCTAGTGTCCTTGCAGCAGTAGGAAAACCAGTTCCAGGCTCCAAGTGACAAGGTTATATTTGCACAAGACTGTGTCCATTAGAATTAGGGTTTTTTAAAAGAAAAAATCCAGAGGACTGAAATACAAACAGTTTGTTTCTGCCTGCAGTTCTGCAGTTCTGGATCTGTGACTGATACAGTTGAAGAGTAGCCCCAAGGCCCCCTCCTCAGGCTGTGTTCCCATATGTAGTATAAGCATTTCTGTGCTGAGTCTGGTGGAAGATTTATCTGCTTCAGAAGCCCCCTGACAGCTGCCAATAACAGGTGCCTGGGGAAAGGCATTAGAACCTGCATATGTTTAATCTCTTCTCATATGTTTGGTATTTCTTTGCACATTTTCTTTGCACAAGTTCAAATATCTTGTTTTCAAGATAGGAGTCCACTATAGATTGCATAGCAGTGCATTGATGTTTCTATTTTGTTCCTTTCCTAGTCACCCCTCTCACTCTTCTTGCTTTCTGACTGCTGTTAACACTGGGCTGATAAAATGGGTATTTTGCTTCCTCTCTCCTGTGTACCAATAGCTCTGCATCTCTCTGCCTGTGCAGTTAAGTTTCTTCCTAGTTGTGCATTGCTTTGTGTTTATGACTGTTGCATCTAACTGGTGAAATTATTGCCGGTCACTCAGGATTTGATGTTCTTTCATGGTCAGCTTTCCTTTATCTGATGTTGAATAATCTGCTATCCTTAGTAACCTCTTTTACTGTTTTGCTCCCATCATTTTTCATACATTTTGCTCTTTATCCCCCAGCACGTTATGGGTGTCCAGTTGTTGCTGGTTGCTGCTATACTTGACTGCTTGTCACCTTTTATCTCCTTGATGCTGAGCAAATATGGCAGGCACTGGTTTCATGCAGGTTAAGAGCACAAATGACTGTGACACACTTCAAAGATGCATCCCTCTGTTAGCCAGCAAGGTGAATCTTTCTATCACAGTGTAAAAATGCATTTCAAATACATCAATCCTTAAGGGGAGATAAACCAGTAAATAACCTCAGGCTGTATTATCCTAGTTTTCTTTATGGGCATCTCTTCTGAACTTCTGGAAAGCCTTGTCCTCCAGGCTTTTGAACTGGATCTCAAGGATGCTGAAAACTTTTTCTTCCTGCCCTCTTTCTTCCTGATCTCTCCCCAGGAGCTGAGTGCCCTGTCTTTTTGCCATGCTTGCTACTTTGTGGCATGATGAGGCAGATATTCAATTGGTTTTGAAAATAGCCCCTCTCTCTTGCTAGTTCTGATCCTCAGTGACTATTGAGTCCACCTAACTGCAGAAGTTGCCTTTGGAGAGGTCACACAAGCATCAGATCTGGCACAGGTTGAGTCATTTGAGCATGGCCCTGGGATCAAGGAATGGAGACCAGGACCTTCCTCTGGTAACTTCAAGCAGTTATATTAACTCAAGCTGTCCTGTGTAACCTGAGCTTCAGTTACATGAAGCTGGTGATATAGCAGGAAATTAACCTTGAGAATGCTCTTTTTGGTAGTGATATGGACTGATGCCAAATTGGAGAAGATGCATAATCAAGGTACAGGTTATGCTTGGGGACAGGTGACACTCAGTCTGAGTCTTAGTCATAAAAATAACGGGTTGAGGACAGCCAGAGCTGGACAGAAGGAACAGCTCTGAATGGATTTTTGAGATGTTTTTTAGGGGTGGTTTTTTTGGTTTTGTGTTTTTTTTTGTAAAAGGATAGGGAGGGAAACTTGCATAAGTACATGTAGGAGAATTTTTTACTTTTTAAAAAGAACAGTCTTGATTTTAGGTCTCTGTTCAAAAAGTAATAGACTGTGTGAGGAGGGGCCTTCAATCCACTTTGGGAGCGTGTCATACTCAGGACTGTAAGGCCTTTTGTAAGGTCTTATGTACTGAAGTCGTGCACTGCAGTTCTTGCACAGTGTTAGATTCTCTGTGTTTCTGTGTCTATTCATCTAACCAGTTCCCAGCTTAGTGTTTCCTGGGATTGTGGAAGTGTTTATGATTAGACCACTAGCTATTTCCCTTTCAGTATCTCTGTAACGTAGCATTCACTGTATGTTCAATGGAATAGACTCTTGTGGTCCCATTCCCCACCCCCTTGCCCCCCCTTTTTTTGGTAATCAGATAGATCAAAAAAAGTTAAATGCACAGAATGAGCTGTTTTACCATTCAGTTATTCAGACACTTTATTGAAGCAGGTGAAGTAAATATAGACTGAAGAAAGTTTGTCTGCCCTCCTTTCTTTTCTTAACTCTGCCATACGCTTTTGTTGAAAGGAAAAATACTGTGGCCACACACTGAAGTGAAAAGATACTTTACAACTATTACAAACTTGAAATAAGAGCTGTATTGATCTGGTCAGTGAATTGTCTCCAAAAGGTAGCTTCAGTGCTGCTTTTTCACTAAGATAATTAATGTGTATTTCATGACTGTGAACAGTGCATTCTTTTCCTGAGAAATCCACGCAGCTTCTTGATTTATTTATTTTTTAATGTTTTTCTCTGCTTCTGCCAGAATGGAGTCATGTCTGGACTGATGCAAATGCTGCTTCTGAAGGTTTCTGCTCACATCACCGAACAGCTGGGAATGGCCCCAGGAGGAGAATTCAGGGAGGCTTTCAAAGAGGTGCGGATTTGAAAAGGTTTTCCTGAGGTCAGATTACTGGCCTTTTGCTCCCAGAGCCAAACTATATAAAACCATTTGTTAGTGACTAGAAAAGAGCACTCTGACCCTGCTTGTGCCGAAGCCTCTGAAATAGCAAGAATCATCTCTGGCTTCAAAGTGTACTCGAAAGTACAGAGGTTTGTAACCCTAAGTGGCATGAAAGCAACTCCAAAAAGCCTTCAAATGATAAGGGTTTTTCCTGATGATATTTTTGATGGCATTTATTTTCATTTAATTAATAATTTATTTATTGTGTTCCTGTTAAATAACTGGTTTTGAATTCTAGATATGGATCCTGGTCCCACTGTTAGTGGTGTCAGGGTTTCAGGCTGTGAAAGCCACCTCTAAAGCATTAATGAGATGTAACACATTCATCTAGAAAGATTATTTGGGGACGTAAAGTATCTGGCTGGTCTGTTAGTTCTATCTGGTCTTTTAACATTCCCTTTTGTACTACTGCCAGCTGTGACACTGTAATATAGTAAATAAATAGTAGCTGGACTTCTACTGTGTGTTGCATCTACTCTTTGGGAATACTGAAACACTATTTTCACTGTATGTATCCACCTTGCAGAATGTATTTTGCTATTTTTATATAAATTAGGTACTAGTAAGGAAATCTGACGTAACAGAGCTGTTAAAGAATCTGGAATAATTCAGTGTATCTAGTCTTAATAAAAAGAAAACTGTTTCTAGGCTTATTTTTGTGAGCATTCCAGACCACAGTGAAGCATTTCAAGTGGGAAAGAAAAAAAAATGTGTGTATTAGCTCTGTCCTGTTGTTAGTGGGGTCCTGCTGCCTCACATTGTAGTGTGGTATCTGGCATTGATTCTTGTTTCATAAGCTCCTTCTTGAATGTATTTTACCAAGACAAACTCATTGGTTAGTGATCCTGACAAATCCTAGGTAAAAGCAAACTCATCACAGTTGCTTCACCTCTGACTTCATTCAGACCCAGAAAGATATTAAGCCCCATCTGTTCACCTTAAGTAGTCACAAGCAGGAGCTTTCTGCTTAGGCAAAAGTAACCTAAAGAGGGTGGCATTGCAACTTTGATGTTTTTACTGCAATACCTGTTGTGTTTTGTAGCTGATGTATTCCTTTATGAAGGAGTATTTTTGGAAACTTTATTTACTGCAAAGCAAAGTATTTTTTATGTTGAAGTATGAGACTACTTGTTCTTTTTTAAGATACCTTGTGTAACACAATAAAACAAACATTCTTTTAATAAGGATGTACTGTGCTGCAGCCTGAAATGTTGACTAATGATTTGTATCTTCTCTTTCAGGCCAGTAAAGTACCTTTCTGTAAATTCCATCTTGGAGACCGACCCATCCCCGTTACATTTAAGAGAGCAATTGCTGCACTTTCTTTCTGGCAAAAAGTCAAGCTTGCCTGGGGCCTTTGCTTCTTATCTGACCCAATCAGGTATGAATAAGCATCCCATATGTTTATCTGGGTGAGTTGTTCAGTTCTTCAGTTTGACTTAGTACAAGCTAGTAGTCAGTACCCAGTCTGATGTAGCGAAACTTGAAGTTGGTGAGAAAATAAATACACAAACTACCCCGCAATAATACATTCTTTCTGAAAAGAAAGCTGGCTTTCTGATCTTGTTCCAGCTCTTTCTTTAATTGTCCTTTGATACATTACTTCCAGGTGAAGTCAAAGATTTCATGCTGAGGAATTTCTAGTGTACTAGGAATTCTTGTTAAAAAAAAAATAAAAATTAAAAAAAAAGCTGAAAATAAAATCTTTCCCACTCCTGTGTGTGGCTATTGTAAAGGCAGGAGCACAGGGTCTCAGCATGCTAACTTATGCTTCCTTAAGAATTCCAAAGACTTGGGCCTGCTGTGCTGAGTTGCATCTGGATCAAGGTAGCTTGAGAACTGAATCTGCTGTCTGAGCAGATTTTTGGAACAAGAGAAAACACTTAAAGTGTGAGCAACATGACTCTTCATTATTATTGTCTTTATAAAGAGACATTGTTAGGAACTTTTGCCGTACAGTAATACTTCTCAGACAGCTATTCTCCTGCTCAGTCTGGTTTCTCCTGCACTTCAGAGATATCCCTGTGCCAAGTTTGCTTCCTCTTTCCACAAGGAGGTGTGTGATAACTTGCTTGGACTGGATGAGAACATATGCACGCTGTCTTCCTAAATTCAGTCTGCTCCTACCAGAGTTGCAGTGGTGGGAGGCCAGAAATGGGTTCCCTGTGCATGTGGTCCCTGAATCTCAGTGTGTCTCATACCCTGTGACTGAAGTGCTGCACAGCTTGTGATCTGTGGCATTTTTTTCAGGCTTTTAAAATTGGGCCAGGGCTCAAACTGTAGTCAAGTCAAATCAAACCGCCCGTTTTCCAGTTTTACCATTTACTTAGTTTTCATTTCCTGTAAATAGTTGCTGTTACATTCATCTGCAAAATGAGTTTGATACTCTTTCAATCCATCAACTACAGTTCATGCACAAAGTAAGTTTTCTTACTAGTCTAGTACCAGCATGAAACTATTTGCAGGCTTTTGGAGGGCGCTGGAGGATATTTCTCTGCTATTTCTCCCATTCTTTTATCCATCCTAAGGACATCTTTGTTTTCAACTGCAATATTAAGATAATTACAGTATATGCACACAAGCTTCCCACTGAAGCTTTAATATAACATTTCAGTTGTACAATTGATTGATCTGTTACATTGATTTTTTAAAAATAACGTGGGAGAGGTTGAAAAGGGAAAGCGTTTGACTGGGAAGTTGTTGGAGGAGGGGTATTGTGTGCCCAGCCATCAACATGAGATTCTGTGGAAAATGGCGTAATAATTCACCATCAGGTTTTTTTCAGTCTGATGTTTCTATGATCTGTTGAAAGCTAGCAGTGCATTTTTCCTTTGGTTGCCCTGTTGACATTTGTAGTGTCCTTTTGATCTTGGAAACAAAAGAAAGTATACTTGGCATGGTTCTTCAGTAGACAGTGGTGCAAAACCAGATGATTCTGTTGCCGCAAACTATGACTGTACCACAGCTATGGGTGCAAACAGAAAGTTAACAGCACCTATAAAAAATATAAAAGCTCATTACATTTATTCCTGCAGTTCTTATTTGTTTCTTTCCTGCCCACTTCCTACTTTTCTGTTCAGGGAATTTATTTATAACTTTGACTTTTCTGCCGAAGACCTGTGATTGACACTAGGAACCTGTGGAACTCTTTACACCGCCTCAGGCTGTGCCTTAACAGTGTGCTTTTTTGTTCCTTAAATAGAGCCTCTGTGTGTTCAGTGATGAGATCTGCTTCCTCAGGAGTGCTCTGTGTTGCCTCTTCTGAGTTTATTAATACCATTGAAAGTGAGGCATCATGATAACTAATTCCTTTGAAGCCCTAGTGCTTTTGCTCAGTTGAATTGTCAGATTTCAAACCGGGAAGGGTGAAAATCCAGTTGCACTGCCTAAGAGGAAGTGACCTCTCTTCTTTCCCTTTCCCTCACTGTAGAGGCATTGTTAGGTATCCAGCTTTACAGGCACAGGGAGTTTTTGCTTTTGCAGAGAACTGTAGAGTGTGTGTTTATGTCAGTAATGTGTGTAATACCCAATTGTTTTTATTCATTCGCTTGTCTGTATTGGGCTTTAAAAGCATAATAGATACTGAGAAAACTTACCTTTCTTTCAGTAAAGATGATGTGGAGAAATGCAAACAGAAGGATTTACTGGAGCAGATGATGGCAGAAATGATTGGAGAATTTCCTGATCTTCATCGAACAATTGTCTCGGAACGAGATATTTACTTGACCTACATGCTGAAGCAAGCAGCAAAGCAGATAGAACTACCTCGAGCTTCAGAAGGTAATTGTTTTAAAGCAGATATCGCAACCAGCAAGGTGTTCTTTGTGCTAGTCCAAATTTCAGTTCTTCTCAGGAAATCTGCAGTGCTCTAGTCACGTGTGCCACGTGTCACATGAGATTACAGTGCTTAAAAATTAAAACAGGATATTACTGTTCTGTTGCAACCTCCTGTAGAAGAATTCTTTTAGACTAGTAGACTCCAAATTATGATTCCTTTCTCATTGTGCTGTTTAAAACTGGAAAATACTAATTAGCCTGACAACTTTTTCAAAAGGCAGGTGTCTGGTATTACAACACAGGACTATCTAGACTTACATCAACTATCTCACTTTTACCTTGTTACCTTGACAAACTCATTGTCATCATGAGCTGCTCAGGAACAAATTTTTTTTTGGAATGTGTGACTCTGCATGTTTCAGCAAGGAACAGACATACAGAATAATTGCATTTCTCTACCCTTTGGAAGTCTGCTGCTGCTGTGTGGGATCTGCGTGCCCTTCCTGTATATAAGCACACTGAGATGTGGGTTACCTCTTATTGCTGTCTTCAGATACTGCTTGTAATCACTTCAGTGCAGAACTCTGGCACGGTCTAGTGATTGAAAAAATAACAAGGGGATTTTACTTGTGTTGTTATGTTTTCCTTGCCTAATATTACCTCAATGCTGCCTTCAATGCTGTTTGTCCAAACACACAGTATTTCCTGTTAGCTCAGTTGATGTGGCTGAAAGAGGCACGGATGCATTCAGTTCCTTGTCCAAAAAGCAGGCTGAAAATTTAGTTTTATTGTTGGTCCTGGCTGGATCGTGAGCCACAAGAGGAATTGTTTAGCAGTTCCCCTGTTCTGTTTTTTTTGTTTTTGCTTTTTGGGGTTTTTTTGGTATTTTTCCTTTTAAGTCTGCCTCTTAAAAGCTCAGTATCTGGATCATTGGTTTAGTGAATGCCTATGAAACTGGAAGGGCTTTAAATGCATTATGAAAGACTTAAAATAGAAGATGGGATCATAAAAGACAAGAATGTGAGGGACTACCTGACTGATAGTCATGTGTCTCAGTCCCCTAGTTAACAAGAGACAATGCCAGAGACAGTTTTGTTTAGAGGCTGTGCGTTTATACTGTACACGTATAGTCTGTTCTATGCATTAATGGTCATGAGAAGCAAAAATAAAAAAAAGGCAAATTATATATTTAAGATTCATAGTAAAATACAAACCCCACAAAATTCAAATGAGCAGAAATAGGGCATCATTACTGTTGTCCAGATTGTTGCCTATTTATTTATAGCTTGAATTTAGTTCTTTTACTGATGTGTTCCTTTGTTTCCATTTCTTTCTCAGCTGAACCTAGGAAATATATCCCAGCTGTTGTAGTTGGTGTTGTTGGGATGGGTCATGTACCTGGCATTGAAAAGAACTGGAACTCTGACTTAAACATCCAGGAAATAATGAGGTAACAGTCATCCTTTCTTACTTGTTGATATAACAGCTTCTCTTGCTAAAAGATAGCAATAATTAGTTTGTTGGGGGTTTTTTTGGTTGTTTGTCACAGCTTGAAGAAACATCAGTACTGTCATCCCTGCTTTGTCAGCTTACTGACTTGCTGTGCAGTGCTTGCAGATTGTGCTTACTGCAAAGGAAAGAAAATATCAAAGGAAAGAAAGTAAATAGTTGGATATCAAGGGAAGTAGAGATGAGAAGATGCCCTTGTCTAGAATGAAAAGTCATTGATCTATGTTTTAAAATGAGAATTCAAATGAGGTTTGTAGAAGAAACATTTTCCAGATATAAATGAGAACTTGTGGCTTCTTTGAAATGGCATGCAGAGACCTCTAGAGTTGCAGCGTAGGTGTGCTGTGGGTGCAGGGCCTGTTAGTGAAGCAGCAGGGCTACGTGTGTGTGTGGCTGTGCTTCCAAAGCCACCTTTATTTTGCAGGTAGTATCAACTATTTATTTCACACAGTTACCGCTTCAAGCCAGGGGTAGACCTGGTATGCATGTTTTCCTCTGCCCTCCTAGTTCTAGATGGCCAGTGCAGAGGCTTCCAAATAGCTCTGTGAAGATCTCAAAGCCAACAATACCTGCCAGACTGGAGACAGCTTCATGTGAGGCCTGTCTGATTTGTCTGCACTGTCCTCTGTGGAGCTCCAAAAGCCCAGAGCACTACAGAGGCTTGGCCTCCACATGCTCATGCTGGGAGCTGCAGCTAGGCTGGTAAGCCTGCCTGGCATCCAGGAGTACACCTTGCTGAAACACCCTCCCCTCTCCCAATCTGTGCAGAGGCCAGCCTGGCTCCACACTTACCCTTCTGGCTGCACAAACCTGACCAGGTCCTGACACACGCTATCCAGAATATCCAAGCTCTGTGTTCCTCCATTACCCTGAATGACAGCGAGTTGACTGTACAGATGTTGGACTTAGGCTGTGTCCTGTTTCTTCTGACTTTTGTCTCTATGCAGAGATATGCACAGTAATATTATAAACAGTTTGACAAACAATATTAAATTTTAGTTTTCTTTAAGAAGTCTTGATGTTGTCTTAGTTATTTTTGATAGTGATGGGCAAGTCAAGGTCCCTAGCCATTAAGAGCGGCATCAGACATAAATAATAATACAGCTTTTACCAGTTACTGCTGCTGTTGTTACTGTTTAATTTGGATGTAGCCCTTGAGATGAAAGAATATGTTATTTGTTCATGACTTGTCTGTTACCCGAAAGCCCCTCACACTATAAGGGGCAAGGGGAGAAGAGATCCTTATTTTAATTGGAAAATACCCGTTCTTTCCAGCTAGGCAGGTGTTAATGTTGTTTTCTGTCTTTTGCTTCAGTGTACCTCCTCCATCAACTTCAAGTAAGATTTTCAAATTTGTTATAAAAGCAACAGTTTTTGGACTGATGGGATATGGCTGCTACCGAATAGGTCAAAGGACAGTTCAGTTCATTCTCTCGATGCCCGCAGCACAGAGCTATCTTCAGAAGCTGACAGAAATCAGGTCTCAGCATTGAACATCGAGTGGAGGCACTACGTGAAGAAAGTGGCTGAAAAAGGGCGATAGAGGCAACAAATGTGACCTGGACTGAAAGAAGAGTGAGATGAAGATTCTAGTCAGAGATGGTTGATGCTGAGCAGAGCTGAATTGCTGTATAAAAGTAAAAGATTTGATACTCGAGTTACACCAGCTATGATGTAACCAGCTATGATAGGTTTGTTACACCAGCTATGATAGGTTTGGTTCCTGGTAAGTGTGTTGCATTAAACCACATGATTCCAGATTGAGGTAAAAGGCATCTGTATGCAAATATGTATATGTTATATATATATACATACTGTATATATAATATATATTACTGATGATGTAGTACAGACTGCTTAAAGAGTGTATGTTCGTGACTTCTTTTCCAGAGGAACAGAACAACACGAAGTAACCTAATTGGCGGCATCTGCTCTGAAGTTCAGGGACACTTGTCTTGAGTGATTCTTTGCTTTTTTCCGTTAGGGATAGTAATACCTAATGGTCATTTCTGGTGCCAGACACTTTCACACATAATTTAGAAGGACATCTTCTCAATGTGTGTTTTATACTTAAAATATTTAGGCTTTTTTTAAACTTAAGAGCTTTCCAAAAATTTCAGAATTGTACAGGCTGTCATACGTACACTGCTCAAATTTTTTACAAGCCTTACTGAAGAACAGGAACGTTGCCTTTAGATTGCATCCCTTGTTACCACCACCAGTTGAATTTTCTCCTGCATAGAGAAGGTATAGCCACACCATCAGAATGCAATGTGGTTTGTGTCAGATGTTTACAGGATACTCTGTCCCTTTAGATTAGCTTATTTAAACTGTATTATTTAGCCAAATCCTGCTGGATTCAGTATTGTAAATTTAAGATACTAGAACTACTGTACAATTTACTTTTGTTTCTCCGACTTTTCATTATTGGGACAAAAAGTCTGTAATTGATAGTACCTGCCCTTCATTTTTGATACATGAAAACATTTTATTTATCAGTGTAATTTCTCAGTGGATGAATATTTTAATCTATTTAATAGAAAAGCAATGATCAGTTTTTCAAACTAGCTGTAGCATTTTGTTTGGGTTACCTGTTACTTATACATGGAATTATGGGTACTTCAAACTGCTGTGATTTTCTTAATTATCCAGGACAGCCATCCATCATAAACCTATTTCTTTTTTTAATCCTAGATTCATATTTCATAGGAATTTTTTTTGGTACCCTCTATACAGGATTGTCAGCGATTGTCAAGTGCCCTGTGCAATCAGCTAGTCCCAGTTTAACAATACAGACAACTGTAACTGTCGTATCAAAGTTTTAACCCGGTATATTTGAATGGAAGAGTCCCGTTTGCTCCTCAGGCTCACATACAGGTGCTCATCACTTAGAGTGAAGATTTTAGCTGTATTAATTTCTTTTGGGAATGAAAGATACGAACCAGTGTGTGAGGCAGGAGGAGGAAAAGGTGATCTTGTGTTTTGTGTTTCTTTGTTTTCAGTTGGTTCAATAAGATCAACAAACTGCTTTTAGTAGGATATATTTCCAAAGCCTTGTGTTAGAAGCTGTCCCATCCAGTCTGTTGTTTGCTGGAAGTATGTACATGTATCTTCTGTGTGGTGTTGTCTTTTTCAAGCTTTTGAAAATGAAACTAAGAGTCTAATGCTTCTTTCTGTGGTGGCATTGACTTTGCTGGGAGCTGGTCTGTCCATGCAACCTGATGCTTTTCTGCCTTGCACTTTGAAAATTTTGAGTCCCAGTGCAGCAAATCGTTTAAGTGCATGTTTATCTTTAAACCTGTTAAATCTAACCTGATCCTGGAGAGCTCTTAAGTCAAGGCTGGGTGCTTTTCTGGATCTAGGCCTTAACAGTTGTGCAGGGAATAACCTTAGCAAATGAGAATGGCAGCAATTCACACTTCCTGGACACAAAGTGTAAATGATAACACAGAATACAGGGGAGGCGGGTCCTTTTATTTTCCATCTGTCAGTGCTTAAGAAATCACCAGCCATCTCTAGCAAGAGGAAGAGCAGCATTTGTAAACAATTTATGGAGGACTAGAGTGACTGCCTGAATTTTGATTCCTGACTTTTTTTTTTTTAAAGGTTTAATGTATTGTTTACAATTAAGCAGTCCTATTTGGATAATTCTATTACATTTTATGTACATTTTTGTAAAAGACGAAAGCAAAAGCTTAAGCTCATCCTTTTCCTGGCTTTACTGACATACCAAAATACTGTTTTGTTGCTTGTTTTTTTGAGAATTTTTAGCTGGTAGAATTCAATATATTGATGTTTTGCTTTAAGTTATCTACAGATTTTTAAGGTATCTACAGATATTTTTAAAAGCTCTGTAGATCTTTGATATCTGTGCTCAGGTAATTTTACGAAAATTAAAACAAATCTAAGGTAAATTTTAGACATGAGCCTTAAACTTGGGTGGGACTAATGCTAAATGATTGTCATGGAGCATTCTTGCAGACTCAATGATTTATGCTTTTTAGACAGAAGTGATTACTGTGTAAGTTGTCTGTTCATTATTCAGTTATTCTCTCCAGTTAATCCCTTAAGTCTATTGTTTTGCTGTTTTTTTTACAAAGCGTATCAGCAGATTCTTTGAGGAGCTTGTTTGCAGACGGAGAATTTGCAGTTTATCTTCTCACTGTTGCAAACTGGCAGGTCATACGCAGGCGCTGTTTACTCAGTGGCACTGGAAAGCCTGATGAATTTGCAGAACTAACAGTCCTATGAATCTATACATGAATGCTCAATGTTGTGTATTCAATATGTTGTACTGTTTATATCACATAATCAGTGTTTTAGGTCCATTCTTTTCTGTTCTAGTCAGTCTTTTCAGTGTTAACAGCATCCTGTAAAATTAAAATACATGTTGAATTGTCCCAGCCCCGCCTCAACCTTATGAAGCCATATTGTATTTTTTGGTGACATGTACATCTGTTTTATGCATTTGTACATGTGATGTAAATTTGAAGTATTTTTAACAATGTGTGCCTTTACTCAAGTGATTTAAAGTAAACAACAGTATGTTCTATGATATAAAAAATAAAATATTTTAACCACCATTCCTGTTGAAGGTATTTATTTTCCTTATTAATCAGTATTTTTATTGAGAACAGACACTGGTTAGCTAGATCTAGGACATGATAATTTCACAATCTAACACATTTTTCTGAACAGGAATGTCAGCTGGAGTAAATACCTCCCAGTGAGGGGCATCTGAGTGTAATGCTGAAGTGAGGAAGCTAGTTTCTCTACTTAATTGGTTAAGAGAGGAAGGGATGAGTTTTCCTGCCTTACTGAACATGCAGGGACACTGACTTCTCCATGTGAGTACCTGAATTCAGAGTCTGGAGTTAGGCATGGGGAATGGACTTGCTGTTGCTTTCCTTTTAATATCTCTCCAGTGCTGCCATGCAAGGAGCTGAAGGCCTTAGTCCCAGTCCAGCAAAGCGCTCAAACACTGACCTAAGGTCAGGCACAGTCACTTGTGCTTACAGTGCTGTCCTCTGCATGGGAATTAAAGACCCTTTAAGTGGAAAAGGTGGCAAAGAGAGTTTAATCTTTCAAATTGAGCCAGGTAAATCAATATGACCATTGCTTTCTTTTAAAAAAAAAAAAAAAAAAAAAAGTGTTAATAAAAAGATGCTGTATTCATACCAAAAGTAAGTATATATCATATGCTGCATTCCATACAGGTACTGTACTGGCTGAATAGTTAACTGATGGTGTACTTTATCAGTCAGCATTCCATACTTTTTGATTGTACATAGGTGAAGCAAAGGTGTGCTTGTACAGTCCTGTTGTCCTTGATCAGGCAAAGTTCCCTTTGGTTGCACTTGGAGCTGTTTCTGCAAAAAAGTGCTGGGTAAGCTGTTTAGGTGGCGGGGGGGGGTCAGATACTGGCCATAGGACTGGCAGATGCCATAGTTCATGCACTGCAGCAACATCAGGCACTGCTCAGTCAGGCAGCCTCAGCTCGCACACCCTCACACACGGAAGGCAGCTCCTGTATTGTTCACCAGTGTTACACACGTACCACTAGCCTAGGTCATGGTTATGATGTGTCTTCTATACTGAATACTGAACCCAGTTTAAAAATTGGTTTTTGAGGTGGATTAATAGTGCCTGGATTTCCACTGGAAGCTGTTTTTCTGTGTGTGTATTGTAAAACATCTAAAAGGCACTGAGAAATAGATCAAGTGATCTCAAAGTGCCAGGCAGTAGGGGGAATGACATGCAGAAAAGAAACACCATACTGTCACTTGTGTAACTCTGAGGTACTCATGTACATATTTTCATGTTTCTTTTTAAAACTCAAATAAACTTTACTTTTAGACTTGAGTATTTTGAGTCTGATGTTATTGCAAGATTTGGGAGTTTTTAAGTGTTTGCAAGAGAGGGGACACTTCTCTGGCTCTGACTGATGGACAGACTTCAGCATGCTGCTGAGCTGTCTCTGTTGGCTGTGGAAATGTGCATGGCAGGCATCAGCTGCAGGAAACTAGTAGCTCCAGTGACACAAAGCTGAAATGATTCTACTGAGAAAACAGATCTGTGTCTACCCCCACAGCAGCAGGCTTTTTGTGTGGGCTGGGGAACAGCTGAAGCAGCTGTCCTGTGCAGCAGGTCCTAGCTGGGGAGGCTGCTGGGGTCCCTTGGCTTTCCCTGCTGCTGCTTTACCTACAAGGAGCAAATGAAGCTCTCTATGCTCCAGGGAGGTGACAGCAGCAAAGATAGGGCTGGCCTTATCCTCCCTCCCAGTAGGGAAAAGGGTGGCAACTGGGGCCATCTGAGCTCTTCACTGCAAGACTTTGCTGGCTAGTGCCAGCTCCATGCTGGGGGCAGCTGTGGCACAAGGAAAACATTGGCTTTTGGTTGCTGTTGTGTCCATTTAAGTACAGTACAGGGAAGCTCGAGTGGTGTTAGTCTGTGGGGGAGTAAGATGCATGCTACCACTTTCCCACTTTCCTCATCCAAGATACTTGGTGCCAATGCATCAAGATTGATGCATGAGGGAAAGGGGAAAAAGAAGCAAATTATTTTTTAAGAAAAGCTCTGTTACAGCCTATTTAAACTGACACTAAGTGTGTATCTCCTCCCAGCAAAGTGACATTCTTTCACTGGTAAAAGTCCCTGCTTTGGGCTACAGAGGTGATTCATAACCTGGGCAAAGCAATGAAGAGTGATGCTTTAATTAGTGTGGTGGTTATTAACACACTGGCTCTCTGCAGCAGCTGAGCTGCACACCTGCCAGCTCCAGGGCCTGCAGGAATACGTGTACAGTCCCTGCAGCTGTGTGCAGCCAAGGCTGGCAGAGCAGCTCCAGGCTTTACCTTTGAGCACACACA